ACTTGTCAATATATTAGGTACAGAGGAGAGAGATGTTTCAGGCCAAAGTCAATCTGAAGACCATTAAGGACTGCAAGCGAAACCGATTCTATAACATGACACAAGGCTCTTTAATTGACTGAAAACAATTGCATAAATATCGCTGTGGTCACGTGCATGTCTAACGAGCCAAGGAATCATGAGATTGATACACATCCCAATTGTTGGCCAAATACGAGTTTCTCATCAAGGCTGACTGCGTTAAAAGGCTTCTATTTTAATTTTCTGATTAACGTGACCGATTGGGATTTTAAATATGAGAGATTTGAAGTAATAATTCAATTAATGGTAAGGTGAATCACTCCATAACACAGGAAATGATTGCAAAAAAACTAAATAACATGGCCAAAGTTAATTGAACTCAAGTTGTCAATAATTTATTGCAAGCTTCCCAGAATTACCGGCTTCACTAACATCGGACTGGAGGATGATCGATTCGGAAGTAGAATACTTATTTAAGGAGTACGCGGTGATAGCAGAGTAAATCCAACGAATCTGTAGTCAATCCATCTTCTGGTTACAAGTAGGCGGTAAGATGGTAAAACCGAATTCAAACATTCTAAGAACGCGCATCTTTTTCCTCTTCAGGGCATACGCTTTGCATACTGGCAATTTCATCATTTCTCATTTTAAATTTAGGTGAATTCGGTTAGGCACAGTGTCGTACATTTTCCCACCATATCGTAGGCCTTTTGTACTAATTAAACTTCAAGATATCTTAAACTCTAAAGTGTTTGCTAGCTTCTCTCCGATTTTACTCTAGTGGAGACGATTCGAATATGCTTCGATTTTCATCCGAAGTAACAAATGAAATTATTCGAGAAAAACAATTTATTAACAGGTAGGAATGTTATGTAATAAGCATTCCGTTTGAGTTAGATAAGAAGAAATGTGATAATTTTTGTGTCTTCTTATCCAATTTCAGTCAATTGATGGAAGTCTTTCACTATCATTTGGATCGCTCGGATATCACAATAAGCAGAGTAATTCATGCTTTAAATGATTATAATTTTAACTGGTCTATTTTTGCTTACATTGTAATTCGTGCAATAAATAATTATTAAATTTTTTTTATCACTTGGGTTTTATAGCGCTAAGCTACTATTTTAAGAAAACAAAAAGTATGACACTGACCTCACCAGGATAAAAGAAGACTTCGTTTGTGGGCTAACTTATCCTGTGGCAAGAGTAGAAATTCAACAATCGATAGCTCAGTCCCTCAGGAATTAGGCACAATTGTAAACAATGTTTATTTAACATGTCTTACTTAATTCCACAATTTGTTGCACATAAAGTAGTTATTAATTTGCGAAATAAGAGAGCACGTACTGTGCCCTTTAAATATTGACTTCAGAGAATTGAACCTACTTATAATAGTTACGAATAAACAAAAGCTTCCATCATTAGCCCGATGTCTACTTCGTAATATAATCATTGTCATTGCAGTCTGTTCTTTTTAGAGAAGGGCATTAATCCAAATGTGCTTTGTTCAGAAGAGAATTTAATGCCAGCATACTTAATTTAGATAGACCATTGAAATGAACCTCGTTTGATAATAGGATCTTGCAAAGCCTTGACTGACTCAGAAATCTCTATACCAGAATCTCCTTTATCTGGCAAGACTTCCAGAACTAGCAAGGCTGCATCCTAGCTATAGAGAAAACAGACAGATTGCAAGGAACTGCTTAGGTTAAAGCAAAAATTAATGAATATTTATGCATTACCAAACTCCAATTCTCAGACAATGGTAAATATGCTAATGTCAAATATGCAAACTTAAATAAACACTCGATTAATGGTAGACTGTAGGAACGACAATGGCTAATATGATGAATCAATTAAACGTACGAGGCTATAAAAGCATACTAGAATGAATGGCCCCCTCCACACGATATCTCCTGTTTTTCACTAAGTTGGAAAAAGACTCGCTAATTTTGAGGGCAAGTGATTCCACAAGACTGCTTGAAGTTAGTTGTGTCTCTCTGTCGATAGCTAGATTTCTAAAATGTTTGCTACGGTATGGCCAAAGGCCTATTTTTGTGGTTCTCGTGCTAGCCAATCCATGCCAACTACACACTCACAATGGTCAACAAGATAATAAGGCAATCGGAGAGGGGGCGTGCAAGCTCAGCCTGTCTGCGTTTAATCAATAAACACCTCGAGGATATGGTCGTTATGGTGTTCGATTTTCCATAATGTTAAGATTCCCTATGTAACGAAATAGCTATTCAAACGATGATGGGAAAAGATCTACTGCTCTCAAGACAGTGGGAGCTTAAATGCTCTCAACTAGACTTCTATAATAAATATGGGAAAGATGATTGGCTGACTGATTTAGTACTGATGATGGAGATGGTTGCTTCAGCGGCAATTTAAACAGTCAAATACGAGAGAGTAGATAATTACTTCCTCGATAGTTCTGTGCTAATAGGATGAGTCCTAAGAGAGCACACAAATTATTCAATTACGCATCAAAACGCTATCTTCTTCCAGGAAACTTGATATGCCAATGTGCAAAGACGGGAAGAATGAAACGCTGGGCTTCTTCGCCATNTTGTATCGCATTAACCAATTAGGTGAGATGACCTTTGGACATCTCTTTAATGTTTCCTGAAAATTGTATAGTGTCAAACAAAACTTCCCAATAGTAGGACTTCAAATATGAATAAGTGGATTGAATTACCCACGTTTGTTATCGGAATTGTTATTGCTACATTAGCTAATTAAATATGGTAGATTAAAGTGGATTTCAGCCGAGCATACAATGTTCTAACACTACATGATTTGAGAATGTGGATGCCTTGGAGTGAGGGATTGAAGTATCTTGATAGGCGACTTACAAGAGGGAGCATTCCTGTCTCCTCTCGAAAGCTTATGATTCACAAGACAAATATTGTTTTTCTTGTTAACGAAAAAGTCTAGCATTCTTACGCACTAAGATGAAGAAATGAAGCTGTCTTCTTATTGATATATGTGAATCTAACGACGTGTCTGGCTTCATAAGTGACCTTTAATTTTTTGCAATTTGTGCAATTGCATTCTAAGAGAGTAGAAGCTAACATAACGATACTAACTATGAGATCTTTGGAACTCTTAATAAGTTTAATAATAATATGAATTTACAAGTTAACATCCTCAGTGTTCTTAGCTGATAAATCGACTCATTGAGATGTGCATGAATACATCTTTGGTGAATACATCTTGGATGAAAGTGGCCACTGATGTAGACCGCTAAGTTCAGTTGATTTGTTTTCTCAATAATTGACTGCACTGGTAATACTTCCTGCTATGACAATGAAAGATCAGAGCGTGCATATTCTTTACCCTGTACAAATGTCGACTATTGGGGATTTGAAAACAATTCATACTAAAGCACATCCAGAGAACTTAATCTTGGCCAAGATAATTGCCTCAATAATCAAGTTATATTGGTGGTGATATGGAAAGTATTTTGTGATTTGAACTCTATACCTGCTTAACATTAATGGTATAACCTGACTGAATGCATTTTAGATATCTAGGGACAAATTTACTGCAAGGTCCAAAGTGGTTATTTAATGTTATGATGGAAAACTCAACTTTGTCTCATTGCAACCTGCATTTAATTAAATATTGACATTTAAAACATTTTGATGTGGGGAATTGCAAAATTAATGTAATGTGCAAAGGATTGTTTGAGTAAAAAGAGGATGAAATGTCGTCGATGACAAGATGGGGACAATTTTGAGACTATTAACTTCATTGGATGATTTAATTTCAGGCATTATCGATTGTCGTCCACTTATATTTGCCCACTATTGCTGTGAGGGGATTCGAAAATTCAATGTTTTAGTGAGGCGTGTGCAATAGACTTACCTCCATGTGGTGCATCCTGGACAATGTATACCCATACAGCAAAAAAACCAGTAACTCGGCAGTTGACTTCAAACCATTATGATCAGCCTGAAACAAATCTATATGAGAAATCATCCTCGTCANTGCTAATAGGATGAGTCCTAAGAGAGCACACAAATTATTCAATTACGCATCAAAACGCTATCTTCTTCCAGGAAACTTGATATGCCAATGTGCAAAGACGGGAAGAATGAAACGCTGGGCTTCTTCGCCATAGGGGGGTTTCAACTGCAACAGCCTTACATTTGACTCCCAGGGAGATTGTGTTGATTTCATAGAATTCTTAATAGACCATTACATTCCAGCATGGGGTGCGCGATAGACTTACCTCCACGTGGTGCACCCTGGACAACCTATCTTCGTACNAACTTCAAGAAGGCTGACTGGCCTAGATTCACAAACATTTCAGACAATGAACTTCGCACAAGTCCCCTCAACCTCAACCAACATCCTGACAAACTTGATCATATCATGAATATTATGATCAGATGTGCAAAGAAAACTACCGATATGAAGAATATTATGATCAGATGTGCAAAGAAAACTATTCCCCCCCAACTTCAACCAACATCCTGACAAACTTTGCAATGATATCGACTTCAACCAACATCCTGATAAACTTTGCACTGATATCACTCTGACAAACTTTGCACTAATATCACGAATATTATGATCAGGATTGTACTGATATCACGAATATTATGATCAGATGTGCAAAGAAAACTATGGGAAGACTAAACACTATCGAGTGTTTTGGTCTAAACACCCGAGTATTATGATCAGATGTGCAAAGAAAACTATTCCCCGAGGCTCATGATTAGATGTGCAAAGAAAACTATTCCCCGAGGCAAGATTACACACTATCGAGTGTTTTGGTCTAAACACCTTGAGGTAGCAAATATTATGATTAGATGTGCAAAGAAAACTATTCCCAGAGGCAAGACTAAACCAATATCTGGTGTTTTGGTCTAACCCATAGGCAAGACTAAACACTATCGAGTGTTTTGGTCTAAACACATAAACACTATCGAGTGTTTTGGTCCAAACACCTTGAGGAAGCTAAAAGAAAGCGGGACGCCCTTCGCAACACTGCTGATCAGTGTAAGAGGGACGCCCTTCGCAACACTGCTGATCAGACTGGGAGGGACGCTCTTTGCAACACTGCTGATCAGACTGGAAGCGCGACGCCCTTCGCAACACTGCTGATCAGACTGGAAGAACAAACGCCCTTCGCAACACTGCTGATCTGACTGGAAGAACGGAGTCAAAACACCTTGAGGAACTGAAAAGAAAGCGGGACGCCGCACCTTGAGGAACTGAAAAGAAAGTGGGACGCCCTTCGCAACAAAGGCATCAGACCTGGAAGAACGGAAGACGTAAAAGCCTGGAGACGACAAGACGCCCTTCGCAAAACTGCTGATCAGACTGGAAGAACTCTGATCAGACTGGAAGAACGGAAGACGTACAAGCCTGGAGACAGCAGTCCTTAGGCAAGGCATCTTACAAGCTAAACGCACTTCCTTCGACACGTAAGACGTACAAGCCTGGAGACGACAATCAGCTGTCCTAAGACAAGTCATCTTACAAGCTAAACGGACTTCCTTCGACAAGTTCATCCAATCTTACAAGCTAAACGAACTTCCTTCGACAAGTTCATCTGTACCAACTATCAAAGTGATAGCCAACGCACTTTTAAATTCCTGGGTAACCTCCAAAACAACAGAGAAAGACCCAGAACTAACACTTTCAAATTCCTGGGTAACCTCCAAAACAACAGAGAAAGACCCAAGAAAGAACTAATACGCTTTAACAGCAAACTGCTTACCACAGACATCGAAATAGCTAACTTCTTTGCGAGGTTCTATTCCCACAAGCAAAAAACCCTTTTGTCAGAAAATCTTCAAGAGATTTAAAGATACAAGTAAGACAGTTTGGTGAAATTAAGGAAGACATAGCAACACCAAATAATGTACTTATTGAACCATTGAGACCTTGCGAACTTATTGCTGCGATAAAACAGCTAAAGTGCGAAGACAGTATTCATCCGGAATTTCTAATTAGAATGGGACCAAAAGCCAAGGAAACCATGTTGACCCTTTCAATTAAACCTGGGAGGCCAGTCTCGTTCCTAACCAATGGAAAATTGACATAGTAATATCAGTACTAAAAAAGGGCAAAGACCCTAGCTGCTATAGTAATAACAGTACTAAAAAAGGGCAAAGACCCTAGCAATGACTATAGGCCTATCTCCCTCACAAGCGTGCTGGCTAAACATAAAGGCCTATCTCCCTCACAAGCGTGCTGGCTAAACTTATAGGCCATCGTTCTGGCTAAACTTATGGAAAGAATGGTTAATAGGAGGCTCACCTGGTTCCTTGAGACCAACAATATTCTTATCAAACCGGTTTTTGGACGCAAAGATCAACTAACCAACAAGTAGCCACTTTCTACCAACACATCAAACATGCATTTGATGCAAAAAATACTCTTGCGGCTGTTTTCGTCGATTTCAAATCAGCATATGACTCGATAGAGAAGCTAATTCTAGAATTGGCAAAGATTGGTATTAATCATTACATGCCAAATTGGATAAAAGCATTCATTGACAAAGATCATGTAGTCAGACATGGAAATGCTCTATCAAAATCCAATCTTTTACAAATAGGCCTTCCACAGGGAGCTGTCACCAGCTGCACTCTTTTCAATGACTTCATCAATGACATAGCCGAATTGGTACAGACAGTCACGGGCATCAAGTGCTGACTTCATGCAGATGATCGTGTTCTATGGTATTTTGCCCCTAAGAAGAACGCTCAGGAAATGACAGAAAGTGCAATAAAATGATGCACTTAAACTACTTGCAAACTGGTGCGACAACCATGGAATGGTTATCAACACCGCGAAAACTGAATTCCAAACATTTTATCTGGCACGTCACAGCATAAACCCGCTTCTAAGGAACATGAATATTACCATAGAAAAAACCAATGAGTTCAAAAATCTCGGAATGACTTTTGACACAAAGCTAACGTGGAAAAGTCACATTGCTAAAATAGCAGATCGAGCCCCCAATAGACTGAATGTCCTGAAGCGTCTTGCCGGTAGCGTATGGGGCTGTGCACGCTCTACTCTCAACACCATTTACAAAATGGTTATTCAGCCAATAATGTTGTATTGGTCTGAGCCACTCATTACACCCACAGAGGTGACTCTCAAACCACTCGAGAAGGGATAAAATCAATGCCCATTGATGCAATGCTCTTAGTTACAGGAAGCACCACAATATGTTCCCTTATCNTTTTCTTTGGCCCGTCACAGCATAAACCCGCTTCTAAGTTACAAGGATACTACCTTAGAAAAAACCAATGAGTTCAAAAATCTCGGAATGACTTTTGACACAAAGCTAACGTGGAAAAGTCACATTGCTAAAATAGCAGATCGAGCCCCCAATAGACTGAATGTCCTGAAGCGTCTTGCCGGTAGCGTATGGGGCTGTGCACGCTCTACTCTCAACACCATTTACAAAATGGTTATTCAGCCAATAATGTTGTATTGGTCTGAGCCACTCATTACACCCACAGAGGTGACTCTCAAACCACTCGAGAAGGGATAAAATCAATGCCCATTGATGCAATGCTCTTAGTTACAGGAAGCACCACAATATGTTCCCTTATCAAAGGAAAGGCCTTGATCTTGTATGAGAAGCTACTGCGCATTCCCATGGATAAATTCTTCAGCACATATGAGAATAGACCAAGATATCTGAAAAAGCAATCTGGTCCATAACAGTAAGCCATAGAACTGAAGAAAAAATTACAAAACCAATGACAAATCAAAAGTCTCCATCTACCCATAAATCCATTAGCGGACACTGATGTAGTGTGTTCAGGAAATCAATCACCCCTCCAGAACAGATGCACTCACTGGCCCTTGAGACAATCAATGTCAACCATCCTGCAGATTAATGGCTCCAAGTCTTCACTGATGGGTCATACATAGAAAACCAAGCAAACATTGGTGCAGGTGTCTACTCTGAACTCGTCTCATTCTACGCAGCAGCGGGACACAATAGATTCGCACAGCGAATCATTCATCCGTTCCCACCATCGCCCCCCCCTCTTCCACTTTTGTTTCTTTGAGTTTCCACCTGTTCATGGCAGCAACTTGAATAGAAGGTTTGTCACCTTCTTAGTTAAAGTAATTAGAAAATATGCGAATATGGAATTCCATTTAGAGTCATCAAAACAACTAACATTCTGGTTCCATTCTAAATAATAATACAATAGAAAAAAAACAGTCCCTGAGTGAAAGCACAAAGCTTGAAGCCAATAAGCCACTATTTACAAGAGGCATCTACAATCCTCTGGTGCAGCTCCCTACACCTTCAATTTCAGATCCCACCCAACTGCGTCTCAAATATGTGGCAGAATTCCCTCCATATGGTGTCCAGATGCGTAACAGAGGGAGAAGAAGGCTCAAGGTAACCTTTCATTGCGACCTCGACAATAGCGCAAGAAAATATGGGCACGTGATGCTGTCGGTACTCCTCCCATTCGTCAACGATTTGGATGTACTCCCTCAGTTTATCAATATTATTCATTTTCCGATAGACATGTTGAAGACCCTTATAAAGGTACTCCAAATCACTGTACCCCGGTCCGAATGTATCCAGATCTACAAAACAAACAAGCTCACTGATGAACCACTCGAAATGAGTAGTGCCTAATACCGTTGAAATTCCAGGAAGTTTATTTACAATTGTTTGCCAGAAATAGCCTACTTTGCAAAAGTTGAGAAGTTGCTCCTTAACCCCAACCACCCCCCACCCCCACATATCGAGCTGGAAATGGCGTCATCGTTGAACCTCCATCCAACTCACGCATCGATCTAAACTGTCCTTCTCACAGTGCAATGCTGGCTGACAGTGCTCTTAACCAACTACTCAGTCCAACGATTCAATCTCACTTTCTCCATTGCAATAGACCAAACCACACTCTCCATTTCCTTCGCGTCCACACAGTATTCCTATTGGAAAACAACTATGCACGCGCACACAAGTATTGTTCCTTCCAACCAGCCCATACGCCAAGTCGTTCATCCAAGTTCTCATTCCACTCACTTGAGAAGAGTAAGTTGATTCTCTTAGTGTCTGCCTCACTCATGTTACAGAAGCGGATTTCACAAGGATTGAAGGTGAGTAAAACAGAGATGCACTTGCTCTAAAACACTAAGTCAAGGTATAAGTCACAAGTGTACTAGAAGTGTGCGCTCACAACCAGACAGCAGTGAAGAGAAAGCTCTGCCACCTTGAGATCTGAGTAGTCGGTACCTCTCAGTTATTAAAAACTCACATATATTTATTAAGCAGCAAAGAGCTTGTCAAGTAAGCATTCTGGGATTGAGAAATCTTTGTCACAAACAAATGCTATATTTGGACGCCCTCTTCAACTGATATAGAAAGACCTCAAACTCGTTTAAGAAATTTGACAACGCAAATACTATCGATCACAGAACACCAATAATTGACAAGTAAAGCTACTTTTCCCAATCACCAAGCCAACTTCTCTCTAGCCGCAATTCGATTCTCAGGTGTCCAAATGCGCCGATCACAACCTCAGGAAAGAACTTGTTCTCGTAGGAGGTGAAAGAATTGGTCGGGGTGGGGGGAGGAGGAGGGAGGGGGTTATGGACTTACTTATTTGAACAGATCGTAGGTAGAGCGCCTCAGCCTTTTTATACTCGCGCATGTGGTAATTGTGAAGACTGGCCAGGTGCCCAACACTGAGACCCACCTCATAATCATTCGGCCCCAGAAAGTGCTCTTTGATCCAAATCGCCTTCAGATGCATTTTTTCCGCCAGCTGTTGGAAAAGAATGGAAAGGGAGAGGTGAAATTATTACAAAAGTGAAGAAATTTTGCCTCCAATTGAGACTCCAAATCTCCCTTAATTGGAATAACATTCAGACAGCCTGTCTATTCAAAACACATTAATTGAAACGAGAAGAAGAGGAGGAATGTCATTATTATACACCAGGACAAAATTGATC